GAAGCTGCAGCCGCCCAAAACCGCGGCTGTAGTTGTGACCGTGTCCCCGGAGGCGGCTGACGGCGGGCTGTCCTACGCGGCCGTTTTTAAAAAGGCCCGGGACAGCCTCGCCAACGACTTTGGGACGGTGGGGGTCAGGATGCGCCTCGCCCAGACGGGAGCTCTAGTCCTCGAGCTCCCTGGGGCTGAAGGCGCTAAGACGGCGGACACATTTGCCGAGAAGCTGCGGGGACTCTTTACAGCCACGGATGGTGTAAAGATCGCCAGGCCTACTAAGTGCGCAGAGCTGCGCATCTCGGGCCTGGACGACTCCGTAACGGCCGAAGATGTCCGCGCTGTAATCCGGGAGAAGACGGGGTGCAGCGCGGACAACGTCAGGGTCGGCACCATCCGCCCCGGTCCAGGAGGGCTTGGCGCCGTGTGGGTCAGCTGTCCCGTAGCGTCGGCCAAAGTATTGGCCGACGCCGGCAGGCTGCTCGTCGGTTTCGTGAGCGCCAGTCCTGGCGGCGAGACCGATGAGATGCTACAAATGCCTAGCATCGGGACACACGCGCGTCAAGTGCGACAGTTGTTTTGACTGCGGCGGACTGTGTTTCCGCTGCGGTCAACCGGGGCATAAGGCGGCAGAATGCTCTGCCGCCCCTCACTGCCCAGCGTGCCCGCCAATCACCAGATGGGGCAGAGAGGCTGCAAGCCTCCCCGCAGTTCTCGGCAGACGTCAGGGGCTAGCCAGTCGACCCAGGCTGCCTCCGATGTAATACGTGCGTCGTCGTCGTCGCCCATGGAGGAGGTTGTAGAGACGATCCAGTAATGGATCAAGTCTCCAACCTCCTGGTCCAGACGAACCTGAACCACTGTGCCGCGGCGCAGGACCTCTTCCTGCAAACCATGGCACAGTGGTCGATAGATAGTGGGATCACCATATATGGTGTTTATTTCTCCTCCAACCGGAGTTTGAACGACTTCGAGGTTTTCCTAACCAGCTTGGAGACCTCGATACGGCGACTAGCGTCTGGGCACGTCCTTGTGCTGGGGGACTTCAACGCAAAGTCCATTGCGTGGGGTTCCCCCAGGACGGACGCAAGGGGCGAGGCCGTAGAGGAGTGGGCGGCCTCGGTGGGCCTCTGTCTTCTAAACAGAGGCTCCACCAACACAGCAGGAGCAGCAGGGGGGGTCGATAGTGGACCTCTCGTTCGCTACCCCTGCCCTCGCCGCACGAGTAAGGAACTGGCGTGTCCTGGAAGAGGTTGAGACGCTCTCGGATCACCTGTATATCCGATTTGAGCTCTCCCGGACCCAGGACTCCAGTAGGGGTCACGTGGCGCGGCGTTTATCCCGCTTTCCGCGGTGGGCTGTTGCCAGACTGAACCGGGACCTACTGGAGGAGGCAGCCATAATTCACTCGTGGCTGTCTCCTCAGGCTCCGACCGAGGAGGTCGACGTGGGGGCTGGCCGCTTTCGCGATGCGATTACGCATATCTGCGATGCGGCCATGCCCCGCATTCGAGGTCGTCGGCCTCCAAGGAAGGAGGTCTACTGGTGGTCCCAGGAGCTGGCGGACCTCCGTGCGGCCTGTACACGTGCCCGGAGGTCCTAGTCGGCGGCGTCACCGTGGAGACGGTGAGGAGGACCGGCTTCATGTGGAGTACCGACGGGCGCGGAAAACTCTGAAGCTGGCCATTAGCCGCGCCAAAGAAGAAAAAAGACAGGAGATGCTGGAGGGTCTTAATCGTGACCCCTGGGGTCGCCCTTACCGCGCGGTGCGACAAAAGCTCCGCGCGTCGGGCCCCCCCCTTACGGAGACTCTCCAGCCCAGCTTTCTGCGAGAAGTGGTTGAGGGCCTATTCCCACAACGAGCGGAACACACTCCCCCGGCGATGGCCTCCTTGGCCGGAGACGACGGGGAGCACGGGGAGGATAATGTTCCGCCCGTCCGGGAATCGGAGGTAGGGGCGGCTGTTCTACGGATCCATTCCAAGAACACCGCCCCTGGGCCAGACGGGGTACCGGCCCGAGTGCTGGCCCTGGCCCTCAACCACATGGCAGACCGCCTCGGGGAGGTGTTCGACGCTAGCTTGGCGTCGGGACGCTTCCCTGAGTGCTGGAAGAGCGGGAAGCTGGTCCTATTGAGGAAGCCGGGACGGCCTGCCGATTCGGTCGCGGCCTATAGGCCCATCGTGCTGCTGGACGAGGCGGGCAAATTGTTTGAGAGGGTTCTTTCTGCCCGCATCGTCCGGCACCTCTGCGAGGTGGGCCCCGATCTGTCGGACGCCCAATTTGGTTTTCGGGCGGGGCGTTCGACAGTCGACGCCGTGTTGCGCCTGAGGGCCGTGACCGAAGAGGCCGTGAGCTGTGGCGGCGTGCTGTTGGCGGTGTCATTGGACATCGCCAACGCATTCAATAGTCTGCCATTCAGCTGCATCAGGGAAGCACTCCACTATCATGGGGTGCCAAAGTACCTGAGGCGGCTGGTGGCAGACTATTTAGAGGAGCGTACCGTCGTGTACGAGGACCGAGAAGGTTATTTGAGGTGTCGGCCCATGTCGTGCGGTGTTCCACAGGGGTCTGTTCTTGGACCCCTCTTGTGGAACATAGGGTACGACTGGGCCCTTCGCGCCGATTTCCCCCCCGGGCTGGGTGTAATCTGTTACGCAGACGATACACTGGTGACAGCCCGGGGGGCAAACTTCCAAGAGGCGGCGCGCCTGGCCACAGGGGGAGTCTCCCTGGTGGTCGGGCGCATTGAGGCGCTGGGCTTACGGGTGGCCCTAGATAAGACGGAGGCCCTGTTATTTCATGGGCCCCGTCGTGGTCCACCCCCTGGCGCCTCAATCGTGGTCAACTCGGTCCTCGTACCGGTTCGGGCCCAGATGAAATATCTGGGCCTGATCCTCGACGGGAGGTGGCTCTTCGACGAGCACTTCCGACAGCTTGCTCCAAAGCTGGTCGGCGCTGCGTCTGCCCTAAGGCGACTTTTGCCCAATATGGGTGGACCCAGCGTCGCGACAAGACGGCTTTACACGGGGGTTGTCCGGTCAATGGCACTGTACGGTGCGCCGGTGTGGGCGGCGGCTCTGACCGCCCAGAATAGGGTACGCCTCTGGCGCCCTCAGAGGGTAATGGCGGTCAGAGCCATACGCGGTTACCGCACCGTTTCGACGGAGGTGGCGTGGGCGTTGGCCGGAACTCCCCCGTGGGATTTGGAGGCGGAAGTGCTCGTCGAAGTTTATCGGCGAGTGGCTGACTCCCGGGCGGAGAGCGGATTTCGCCCTCCGCCCGAGGATGTGCGCGAGTGGCGCGAAGCCGCTCGCCGAGCCACGATGGCTCGTTGGTCGTTCCGGCTGGAGACTCCACGCGCTGGCTTCGCCGCCGTGGAGGCTCTCCAGCCGGTCATCGCCGAGTGGGCAGGGCGGCAGCACGGGACCCTTTCCTTCCGGCTGACGCAGGTGCTTTCCGGGCACGGTTGCTTCGGGAAGTACCTGCACTCGGTCGCTAGGAGGGAACTGAGTCCCGCCTGCCACCACTGCGACTGCAGTGAGGACACGGCCCAGCACACGCTGGCGGTCTGCCCCGCATGGGCGGCGCAGCGCCGGGCCCTCACTGCAGTCATCGGAGTGGATCTCTCGCTACCGGCCGTAGTACGCTCCATGGCCGGTAGCGACAGTTGTTTTACCGCGGTCGCAACCTTCTGCGAGGTAGTAATCTCGTGGAAGGAGGCGGCGGAGAGGGCCCGGGAGGACGACCTCCACTCGGACCCGATCCGCCGCCGGCGAACCGGGCGACGGAGGCCCGCCTACCACAGCCTCATGCCGCCCTGAGTGTGGCCGCGGGTGGACGGGGTGGGTTTCCCCTCCACCCGCATTAGTTGGCCAGCCGCGAGGGGGCGGCGTCCGCGTGTGCCGGACGTCGCCTAAAGAGAGGAACATCAACATTGAGACGGAGCCCGCACCAGGAGCGGGCTGGCGCTAGGAGGGGTCCGGATGTCTTAACAACAGCTGTTCCCGGATCCCTCCTGTTACAGGCGCAGAGTGGCACACCGTTTGGTTTTAGTCGGTCCGAGTCCGACACACCACCCCGCCGCAAACCCCGGAGGGGTGACGGTCCGAGGGGATTTCCACACGTTAAAAAAAAAAAAAAAAAAAAAAAGGGTTTGTTCCAAGTTTTCCTTCTCTTTGCAGTATTGTTATTCTGCGTAGTTTGCTTCCTTAGTCGGCTCTTACGACACCTACGGGATAAATGGGGGTGGTGACACTCCGTATTCTTAATCCGTCACCACACGGATAATAGTTACGTATCATTACTGTACTTTGCAAGGTGAAAAGTGAGTGTTAGATTCCACTATTCCATTTGCCAGAGATATACGCTAAAGAGTGAACAAAACGTCTTCGGACTGCATTTGACATATCAAACGAAGAATAAACAACTTGGTGTAGCAAATTATTACTAGGTAATCTAGTTGAAAGATCATGTTCAAGTCCCTTGTGACAGAAAGCCGAATTAGTCGGTTAAATACCAACATATCACTTCACCACTTACTTCGGTGAGCAGCGGCTGTTTTAGAGTACACTAGCTGACCCGGCAAACGTTGTATTGCAAAACAAAAAAAAAATAGGGATGGGTCACCCTTACCATTTAGGGGTATGAAAAATAGATGTTGACCGATTCTCAGACCTACCCGATGTGTACACAAAATTTCATAACAATCGGTCCAGCCATTTCGGAGGAGTACGGGAACGAACATTGTGACACGAGAATTTTATATATAAGATTACAATACTTTACTAATTTTGAAAAAAATAATGAAAAAAAGATTGAAAATTATATTGGCTGGCTGTGAAATCACATAAATTTTAAGCTATAAATACCTAACACTGTTTCGGTAACCATTAGAATAATAATATGCTATTTTATATTCTCATGTAGGTAAGTGTTTTTTTGTCTTTTTGAGAATAAATTCGTTAAACCTAAATTTTGGTTTCTAACAGCTGGTACACATTGATATGGCACCAAATTTTGCTGGGACAATGATGGGCATCACCAATACCTTCGCCAATATTATATCTATCATATCGCCACTTGTTGCTGGCCTCATACTACAAGATGAGGTAATTTTTGAAATTTTCTTTTTTTTTCTTTTAAAAAGGTCTACTAGTAACTATAATTACTGGTATTCCCGTTAACCAATACCGCTAAGCTAAATTGCTTGTGTTAGGAGTGGGTTTACGTCAGTAGTGTACTGGTCAGGATTCGAACCCACGACCTCTTGATCGCAAGTCCAATGCCTTAACCACTAGGCTACCGCCGCTTATTTGCTTGAATCATAAAAATTCATGAATGTTTAAATTAAAAAGAAGCATAACTACGTAAATATTACATTCAATAAGTAAATAAATGTATTATTTCCAGACGGATCCCTCTCAATGGCGTCTAGTGTTCTATGTATCATCAGCTGTATACTTCGCTACAAATCTGTTTTTCATAATATTCGGCAGTTGTGAGAGGCAGGCATGGAACGAGCTCAAAGAATCTGAAGAAAGTGAGTAAAACCAAAACTAATTATTTATTCATCATATTATTATGTATTTTTATTAACACGCTTTTATTAGCTTCACCTGTATGTTTGTTTGTTTGTTTGTTTGTAATCGACTCCTTTGAGCTCGATTTTGCCCTACTTTGAACGATCAGATTTGATTCAAACTTTGCACACCTGTCAAAGGTCGATGACAATGCAATAATCCGATCAAAATATCCGATTATCCTAATTAGATTCGCCAGGATTAGTTAATTTCTTTCCGCATCCTTTGTATGCGAGTAAGAGAGACAGAGCTAGTGCGCGAACTACGCATGCGTGCAGTTCCAGACTTGCTCTTTCGGGCACTCAGTTCAGCACAACCTTATAAAAACTAATATGGTAGTTGCGTCTTGTTCCTTATACTGACATATATGTCCCGACAAATCTAATACGCATTCTATTATCATTTTATAATATCCATAATATATTTATAACCGTGATTTAGCGTGGGGTGCATCTGAAGTGCTTTTTATGATATTATCAAAGTGATGATTTTTCTACTCATCTGACAATAAATGTTTATAACTATTGACACTATGCACCCCACGCTTTTTTACAATAATGTACATTCATTTTTTTTTACACTGTACTTAATCAAACTTAATCAAATTTACACTATTCTTAATCCAAATTTATTAAACTTTATTTTCTGTTTTTTAGTTGGATTTTCTATAAAAGCGTGTTTTTAATTTTAGTTTTTTTAAACTATTATTTATTTTATTTATCTATCGTCGTAAGATTCAATAAAGGGACGTCCTAACGATGTAAGAACTATCATTGAATAAATGAATTGAGCACGTATCCTGTAATGCTCGAAGTTCCTTTAAAAAAATATCACTGAGTACTCCGTGTGGTGACGGATTAAGAATACGTTATGTCACCACCCCTATTCATCCCGTGGGTGTAATAAAAGTCGACTCGAAGGAAAACTTGAAACAAACCCTGTACCAACCCGTCTGGCCAGCGTAGTCATTATCATCTGCCTACCCTTTTCCCAATTTTATTTGGGGTCGGCGCAGTATGTATGATTTTTCCATTCTACTCTGTCATGCGTCATCTCACTGTTTACTCCCTTCCTAGCCATATCCTCCCTCACGCAGTCCATCCACCTTTTCTTCAGTCTACCTCTTCTCTTGTACCCTTCAACTCCCATACCTAAAACTTTCTTCGCCACATTTTGCTCATCCCTCCGCATGACATGTCCATACCAAGACAACCTATTACTTCTTAACTTTTCATCCAGTGGCGCTACTTTCAGACTCCCTCGTATATACTCATTCCTAACCTTGTCCATCTGAGTCACACCACAAATCCATCTCAGCATTCGCATTTCGGCTACGTTCAGGCGTCTCTCATAAGTTCTATTAGGTAATGGGCCAACTTTCAGAACCATACAGGACGGCAGGTGGTATAGTGGGCCAAAACCTCCTTTCAGAAAGGAGGCCTATGTCCAGCTGTGGACTATCATAGGTTGTTGATGATGATGTGATGTGAGTGCTACATTCTTATTAGGGAACGTACCTATACTACGTGATCCACTTTTTGGAATTTTAACCCCTCCCCCCTCGGTGTCCACGTGTTGTGTATTCCAAGACCTACTCCTTCTAGAGTTTTCACATAGTAATTCATAGATATACATTTAATCATTTCTTATAAAAAAAAAAATATTAATAAGATAAAACTTAAGATACATATAAATTTTAAAAATCATGTTTTCCCCAGAAGCATCAAAATGCTTATTAAATTATATTTATATAATTCGACTTTTCCATAATAATCTTCTTAATTTGTTTACATGATCAGCCTCATTAAATAGCAGTATTTTTCTTTTCTTTTTTTTCAGGTACTGAGTAAAAAGCCGAGAAAGTTGTTTGAGGAACTTTAATTTATGTTTGTATTGTTCAATAAATATCTCATGTTGAGAAAAATATTTGCTTCGATTGAAATATTTATTTGTAAAATATCCAATACCAAGGAACAAATAACATGATTTGTGTTGATTTGAATTTTAATTGTTAACGTTATTAATTTTGGAGGGTAATTAGGGTTGTAGTTAACGGTTGTAGTATTTTTTTCCTTATCAATAATCATAACACTCAACAGACAAAAAGATATTTTACCTTCTATTATTTTAATCATACTTTGCCAAGTGTACGACATTGTGATTTTTCACTTTGATTTCAAAGAAAATTTGACGGAAGCAAAGTATCTCCGTCCCTATGATCCTTTCGCAAACGGAGTTTCAATTTTTTTATCTGTTAGATAACATATTAAAGAAAAAATATATTACAACTATATTTATTTTTACGATAGTATTTATTTATATATTTTGTAGATAACCGACTGGTTTCGGATTCTACAGCACCCCATATCAAGGAGTTGAACGATCTGCTGCATTAAAGTGTAGATCCTCTCACTGGCACAACTTTCTCTTGAAAAGTAGTCCTCCACTTGACGGGCCTGTTGGTGTAGCGGTTAGAGGGCCTGTCTGCTAAGCCGAAGGTAGTGGGTTCCATTCCCAGCCAGGACAAATATTGTGTGATGAGTCATTTGTTCTGTGTCTGGGTGTAATTTATCTATAATATGTATGTATTTAAGAATATATAAGTATGTTTATCAGCAGTCTGGTTACCATAATACAGGCTTTGCCTAGTTTGGGATCAGAAGTTACTATTATTAAAGATCCAGAACAAACTAATTGTTTATAGACGTATCGGTTACCTAACAGTTGAGACGTGTAGTGTAAAATGGAGGAACAAGCTTATGGGTTAAAGTAAGACACTGTTTACTTAGCATAAACGTATAATATAACTATTTACACAATTTACAAATATTGATATACCTTAATTTACTCCTTAAACTACTTTTTCGATCCTCTTTTGTGTTTCTGAAACAAAATTAAAAAATGTGTTAGAATGATCTATTGTTATTTATATCATGGAGAGTGCTCCGAGAAATTCTTCGGACTAATACCAGCCGCAAATTTCTGCCATCGTTCCACATGGCAAAAATTTCATACTGTGAAATTTTTTCATAATTTTTATACAGGAAAGTTGACGCTCCACTACTGTGCGCTTTTTGAGACACTTTTTGCCCAGCACAACCAATCTGTGGAACCGGTCATCGTCTGCGGTATTTCCGACCTTCAAACCTTGAAGAAAAGAGCGTACTCCTTCCTAAAAGGCCGGCAACACGTTTGTGACTCCTGAGTTGCAGACGTTCATGGGCGGCGATGGTCAATTTCCATCAGGTGACCCGTTTGCTCGTCTGCTCGTCGTATGTTAGAGAGGCTAACATAAAAAAAAACCGCAACAAAATAACATTTACAGGCAAGGAAAATATTATCTGTGATTTAATTAAGCCTTTCGTGGCAGAAATACGTAGTAAAACAGTAGAGAAAGAAAGAAAAAAGTAAAACAGTAATTAAGAGACCAAACATTCATGCACATTTCTTTACGAGGTGAGGTACCTCGTCGTCTGTAACATTTCGTTGAGGTAAAAGAAATGTGCGTGAAGGTTTAGTCTCTTAATTACTATTTTACTACGTATTCCTGCCACGAAAGACTTAATTAAGAAAGTAGAGATGAAAAAATGATAGTATTACTTCGAAACTGCGAAGTTCGGATTTTTTTTTATTGTTTTATAAGACAACTCCTGCATTAGTAATATATCCAGTGTCACGGGGGACTTTACAAACATACATGAAACGGACGCAAAGAACACCAAGACTCAGAACAACAATTTTGTGTATCACACAAAGTGTCGTCCCATGTGGCGTTTGAACCACTACGCCATCCGTGCAGTGTAATTCGTCATTCTATAAGCAATCGTTAAAAGCAAAATAAATTCATCCACTTCATTCGTTTGATGTTTGCTTTGTCTGCTTCGTTCATTATTTCTATGGTTAGGATTTTTATCATCTTAATTCCTATTGAGAACAGTGTCAAAGTGAGCAATTCTAATATCATACTACCACTATCTTTGCTTCTTTTTTGTATGTTTTTTGTATATTTTATAATTATTGTAGAAATGTGTATCGTTTGTTGGCGACCCAAAATAAATAAAAATAAGAAATACTATAATACTATTATAACTACCATGGCAGTATAAATAAAAATATTCAATTCAGTTTTTCTGTGAGTCTGGGTGTACTTTATCTAAAATATGTATGTATTTAAAAATATATAAGTATGTTTATCAGCAGTTTAGGCACAGGCTCTGCCTAGTTTAGGACAAGACGGCTGCGTTTGAAATGTGTATGAAAAAAAAACCTACAAAATATAGCAAAGAAACGGTTATACTCCTATCTCGGTAGGAAATAATAAAAGACGATCTAGGTTTTTCTGTTTGACGCATAAACTTAAATCGACCAAAGAAATCTCTTACGCATGGTACTACTTAGAATTTAGAAGTCAACTCGATCAATAATTAAACCGACAATAAGATCTGCACCAATGTTTAAAATATATTAGAGAGGAAACACGACGATCTGACGACATACAAGATACGTTATTACGTGTAAAATTGAATTCGCTTAAAATAACATATTGAAAAAACCTTGTAGCTCAATGATTGTAGCTCATAAAATACCTGAAGCAATTTGAACAAGCGTCCGAAGAGTAATAAATTTAACACATAAAAGAGTCTTCATTGGACATTTTTATCCTTGTATTTTTTAACTTCAACTTGATTTTTAATTAAAATGAAGCCGACTCGTAGTATTCTATTCAAGTTTTCTTATCAAACTAACTTTATTAAGTACGTACTTACGTGAGTACTGTCACAGTGTTGTACTGGTAATAAATTAATCTGCAGTTAGAAATTTTGGAAATTAGATTATAATATCATCAAACTGACAAGCAAACGTAACAAACCATATCTGGTATTCACGTTGGTTAACTTTCAGAGTAATGAAACCGTTATATATTTCTTAATTTCACCATTTTTTTCGTCCCGTTCCAATTTAGTTTGGATCTGGTGTAACGACTAACATTGCAAATAGTTTCTTCTATGCGTAACCTTTCGCTACCTAATCACTTTTGAAAATTACAAAGGAAGAAGGTTAAAGTAAATTGGCGTGAGTAAAACGGATAGGGTAGTTCCATCAGCTAGGGTAAGAGATACCGTAAGTTTATCTGTGTGGTGACGGATTAAGAATACAGAGTGTCTCCACCCCTCTTCATCCAGTGGGTGTCTTAAGAGCCGACTAAGGGAGTAAACTACGCAGGACAACAGCACTGCAAAGAGAAGGAAAACTTGAAACAAACCCTATACCAACCCGTCTGGCCAGCGTGGCAGAGTAGGCCAAAACCTCCTTTCTAAGGAGAGGCCTATGTCCAGCAGTGGACTAGTAAAGGCTGTTGATGATGATGATGATGAAGTCTTGGATGGGAGCATAGGAAAAGTCAGGACTGAGTCTGCAGTTGCAAGCCGGTATGTTTGAGTTACTGCTAGAGTTATGCATAAACTAGTAAACAGTCAAGTCTAAGAATAAATATATAAGGAAAAATACCTTTTTCGGTGTTTTCTTTGGGAGTATTCCATGGCTGTAGTTCACAGGAGCCGAATATCACGAAGAACAAATTAGCACCGATGTATACCGCTGATGACAGGTAAAATACTTGTCTCCATTGAGAAGGATCAGTCTGAAAATAATATTGTACATCTACTTTAGTTTTTATTTAAATGATTTTTGTATATAATGCTTTGCTAAGGAACCCAGTAAAATACATTTGTTGATCATTATTTCAAATTGAGCTCAGAATCGTATTTCGAATTAACCTTGATCGATGAACTGTTCGCTGCTCTTCCGAAGTCGGTTGTTAAAATTAATTAATACACAATTTACATGCATGAAATTAAATCTATCTTACAAGGAAATCAGTATTATAGGCACTGAAAGTTTACATAATAAGACAAGTAAACAAGACAATCTATAATAATGACTGCTTCTTCCTGTGTAATTTAAAGTCCTGGATTGTTTTAATAACAGTTTCAATTGGGTGAAATTATAAAAAGGACCGTGGATGAAGGATGTCCTTTTTTTTTCAATCAGTCCTCTCAATCTTAACCACATAGATAGATAGCTTGTGTGGATGAGAGTTGTACGCTGTGTCCTACAGAATAGGTGGACCCTCAACATTTACTGTGATGGACATGGTCCGTCCCAGTACTGATTTTCAGTGCCCACCAGAGTTATTGATTTGACGCCGACAGCCGCAATTACCACTGGATATCTCTTATGTGCTGCTTGTCATGTCATGTATGACACAAGGACTGTATTTGGTAAGTAGGCTATATTGTAATAACAACTTAACGCTAGCACAACAAAAAACAAACAACCAAACTATAAAACTACAATTGATTATCACGTGTTAACTTCGGATACTTTGGATCACGATTTTGAGCTTAAACAAAGTAGCCACAGAATTACTATGTTTTACTAAAAAATCAAATCCGCACCCGCGGGTAAACAGATCCAATTAATTTACGAATTTATTACGGTCATAAATATTAAATAATGGTAATTTTATTTAAAGGCCAATTACGTATGTCTAATTTTTAACCTAACCTAATTGGCGAACATAAAAAACAGACAATCCACCTAACAGACATATTTTTATGGCAATTAGAGGGTTCAATCTCTTTCATTTTAAATTTGACCTGATGAGGGAAAGCGGTTCAGTGCTTTATTGGAAATCGTTATGTAATGGTATAAAATATCGGAGAGGTTTTGTAACTTAATGTTCCTTGAAAGTAAATATGCTTTAATTTACATAGTTATTTGAGGGAGAGGTCTTTAAAATAAAGCTATAACGGGCAAACCAGTAGACGGGGGCCCTGATAGTGAGTGACTACCGCCGCCGACACTTGCAACTTAAGAAGTGCATTTCCACACTTTGAGACCGCCCCCCCCTCTGCTAGAATCAGGGGGAAGCTGTTCGAATTATGAGGCGCATCTCTGCAATAGAAGGCGCCCGTTGTCGCCCTCCTCTGGCTCCGCCAAGGGCGACATATGCGGCCGCTGCCAAGGTGGCTCTAACAGCCCAGCCAGCAACTAGGGTGGCTGGGCCGTCATCAGCGCCCCCGCCCCAGAAGGCCGGAAAGGGCAAAGGGAGGGGGAAGGTGGCCCCCCTCCAAGTCCCAGTCTCGGCCCCGGCTGACACCGCACAGCGCCCGTTGGAACGGGGCTGGACGGTAGCAAGGGAGAGTAAGAAGAGGCGGAAGGCCGCAAAAAAGCGGCCAAGAAGGCGAGGAGGGTCGCCGCCGCCGCCGCGACGGGAGCGCCGACGAAGCTCCGCGCCCCTCGCTCCTCGGCCGTCGTTATCACTTTGACGGCGGAGGCAGCGGAGAGGGGCGTGGGGTACGCCGAGGTCTTGGCGAAAGTCAAGGCCAACGTGGACCTCAAAGCCCTCGAGATTCCGGGCGTCTGGTGTAAAAACACACGGACGGGAGCCCGGCTTCTCGAGGTCGCCGGCGCTACCAGTGCCCCCAAAGCCGACGCCCTAGCGGCTAAGCTGAGGAAGTGACTGGATGCAGCTGACGTCCGAGTGTCCAGGCCCACTAAATGCGCCGAAGTTCGCATCACGGGCCTGGACGACTCTGTCACGGCGGACGAGCTTAGACTCGCCGTGGCGGAGACGGGAAGCTGCCCTCTGGACAGCGTGAAGGCCGGAGCAATACGCTTCGGCTCCAGTGGACAGGGAGCTGCGGTTGTCAGCTGCCCCATCGCGGCGGCCCAGAAGGTCGCCGATGGTCGGAGCCTCCTGGTCGGAGGTTTCCTGAAGGCGCAGGCACGACTCCTGCAGGCCCGACCGGCAAGGTGCTTCCGGTGCCTGTCGGTGGGTCACGTAGGGGTGCACTGCATGACGGAGGTCACCGTAGGTGACCGATGCTTCCGCTGTGGCCAGCCCGGTCACAAGGCGGGTGCCTCCAACGCTCCGCTGCGTTGCTTTAGGTGCGCAGCGGCGGGCAAGCCTGCCGACCACCGGGTTGGTGGTAAGGCCTGTGCCCTATCAGGACCGAAGCCGGGAGGCCGACCTTCCGCCTCCGGGCCGCTGATCCAGACGGGGAGTGGCAAACCGCTGGACAGCAGGAAAATTCGCTGCGGGATGCGGGGATGGAAGTCCAGTGATGGATCCACATCTCCGCATCCTCCAGGTGAACGTAGGCCACGGTGCCGATGCTCAGGATCTTCTGCTCCAGAGCATGGCACAGTGGTCCATCAACATCGCCGCTGTCGCCGAGCCATATGTCCATCGGTTTCTCGGGCCTGCCTGGGAGACAGACTTGGATTGCACGGCGGCCCTGGTGCACGGTACTGCTGCCGGCACTCCACCTCTTGCAGTAGTTGCAAGGGGACGGGGCTGTGTAGCGGCGATAGTTGGGGATATAGCGGTCGTGGCCGCTTATTTCACGCCTAACCGAAACCTAACTGAGTACGAGCAATGGCTCGCTCAGCTGGCCGTCGTCGTCGATGCCTGTCGCCCCCACCCGGTTCTTGTGCTGGGGGACTTCAACGCCTGGTCGCAGGCTTGGGGTTCCCTGCGCACGAACCCGAGGAGCAGGGCATTGGAGAACTGGGCTGAAAGATTCGGCCTAGTTCTCCTAAACCTGGGGGCCGTGGCCACGTTCGTGACGGCGAGGGGTAGTTCGATCGTGGACATCTCGTTCGCATGCCCCTCGCTAGCGCGTCGTGTCCAGGGCTGGCGCATCGTTGTCGGGGAGGAGACAGGTTCGGATCACCGATATATTCGGTTTGACGTCTCCGCCCCTACAGATGGCGCGCCGGTCAGACCGGCACCACCTGAACCACAGTCACAGGCTGACTGTGACTGAGTCAGCCTGTGACCACGGCCGGTGCAACCTGGTCGAAACGTCAGGCAAACCAGAGGTATGTAATACCCTAAATAAGAGATCGCGTTAATTCCCGTTAAATAATATTAATTATCATGGAGCGCGAAAGTTTAAAAGTTAGTATAGCAAACCACGTGTGGCGCTCAAGCACTTAGATCGCGACCTCCTCCTGGAAGCCGCCATCGTACAGGCCTGGTCTCCTGCGCCGGACAGGCCTGTCGACGTCGATGCTGAGGCACAGTGGTTCCGGGAGGCCATGACCCGCGTCTGCGATGCGGCGATGCCTAGGGCTCAGCCCAATACTGCGAGGCGCCAGGTCTACTGGTGGTCGCCGGAGATCGCACGGCTGCGTCAGGCCTGCGTGACCGCGCGCCGCCAGTGGTCCAGGTTTCGCAGGAGGCGTCGCCGCCCCGAAGATGCGGCAGCGAGAGAGGCGGAGCTGTTAGAGGGTTACAGGGTTGCCAAGAGGACCCTTCAGGCAGCGATAAAGCGGGCCAAGAGCGAGGCCCGCCGCGAGATGCTGGAGACACTGGGGCGGGATCCGTGGGGACGCCCCTACCGTATGGTTAGGGGCAAGATGCGCCCATGGGCCCCGCCGCTCACACGGTGTCTTCAGCCAGAGCTGCTTGAGAGGGTCGTTGGCTCCCTGTTCCCAACGCGAGTGGTGGAGCATACTCCGCCACAGATGGCTCCGCCTCCGGCGCTTGAGGCGCCTAACGTTGATGACGACGACGTGCCTGAGGTCACTGGGGTGGAACTAAGGGTGGCGGTGTTACGGCTTAAAGCTAAAAACACCGCCCCGGGGCCCGATGGCATTCCTGGCCAAGCGTGAGTCCTGGCCTTAGTCGACGAGGCTCTCGAGCCCCGACTGCGAGGGTTCTTCAGCGCATGCCTCGAGCGGGGCCAGTTTCCGAAATTGTGGAAGACGGGGAAACTGGTCCTCATCCGAAAGGAGGGGCGCCCGGCGGACTCACCGTCCGCCTACCGGCCCATAGTGTTGCTTGACGAGGTGTGCAAGCTCTTTGAAAGAGTGATTGGAAGGCGCCTCGTCAAGCATCTCGTGATGGTGGGGCCGGATCTGGCGGACAACCAGTACGGTTTCCGTCGGGAGCGCTCCACCGTGGATGCGATCATGCGCGTGAAGGCTCTGGCGGAGGAAGCAGTCTCCCGGGGCGAAGTGGTGTTGGCGGTGTCCTTGGACATCGCCAACGCGTTCAACACTATGCCCTGGAGCTGCATCAGGGAGGCGCTCGTGTATCACGAAGTGCCTCTCTACCTCAGCCGCATAGTCGGGGCATATTTGTCGGAGAGAGCTGTCGTCTACCCCAGTAGGACCGGTCTCGGTAGGCGTGAAATGTCGTGCGGTGTTCCGCAGGGGTCGGTGTTAGGGCCACTCTTGTGGAACATCGGCTACGACTGGGTGCTTCGTGGTGCCTTCTTGGATGGTGTCGCCGTCGTGTGCTACGCGGACGACACACTCGTGACGGCGCGCGGCAAGGCGCACCACGAGGCAACCCTGAGGGCCACGGCCGGGGTTGCCCTCTCTACTCGGGGGTTGTGCGGTCCATGGCCCTTTACGGGTGCCCAGTATGGGCGGGGGCCCTGAAGGCCAGCAACGTCGCGATACTGCGACGACCGCAGCGAGTGCTGGCCATCAGAATCATAAGGGGGTACCGCACGATCTCCTTTGAGGCGGCGAGTCTCCTGGCCGGAACTCCACCGTGGGACCTGGAGGCGAGAGCCCTTGCGGCTCTGTATAAGTGGCGCAAGGAGGCGCGGGAGTTGGGTCGGTGTCCCGAGACTCGAGAAATCGATGACCGGAAATCCCAACTCCGACAGGTCATCATAGGGGAGTGGAAGGAACGACTCGGGCAACCGAGCGCCGGGCACGCCGTCATCGCGGCGGTAAGACCCGTTATGGAGGATTGGCTCGAGAGGCGTCACGGGACCCTCTCATACCGACTGACGCAGGTGATCACTGGGAAAAGATGTTTCGGGGATCACCTGTGTCTGATCCGCAAGGAGCCAACGCCTGAGTGCCACCACTGCGATGGCCAGACCGTGGACACGGCTCTCCACACGCTGGCAGAGTGCCCGAGAGGCGAGACCTCGTGGCGGCCATCGGAGTGGGAGTTCTCTCGCTCGATAGCCTGATTGCGGCTATCGTGCGGAGCGAGAGTGCGTGGAACTTTCGCGCCGTCTCCTTCGCGAGCATAACTTGCTCGCAGAAGGAGACGGCAGAGCGGGACCGGTAGAGATTTAGGACTCTCCCGGCCCGCCAGGCCCGGGAACGGGCCAGGTACCGCAGGCGACTCAGGCGCCGGAGGTCGCCGTCCTCGCAGCGCAGCCATCTGTCACCCTAGCAGAAGCAGGCCGGGGTGGCGGCGAGCGCGTTGCGAAGCGCGCTCGCTTCCAGGGAGCACATTGAACATGGTTCCCACACGAGGGGGGGGGTCGTCTACTCGTCTGTAGATGACCCGAGATATGTCGGGGCACCAGGGACTTCCTTTCTAGGGTATACCTGGTTCCCCAGCTATTAGTACCCGAGACGGCGTGCAGTTATAGTCGGTTCGAGTCCGACATGCCACCGATAGGTGGTAGCCGAGGGGATTTCCACACGGAAAAAAAAAAAAAAAGGGGGGAAGCTGTTGATCTCCAATGTCTGTATATTGCTTAATACCAGGTAATGTGAGGCCATGGTTTCACTTTTGAGAGTGTGGTTTCACTCCGGTCTCCTCTTTCCAAATGTGTGGAATGCCTTTTCTGTGGTTCTTAAAATGACTACTTTTCTACTAGCTGAACGTTTGTTTACAATGCTTATTGTATGCGTATATTCGGTTAAGACCGCGAATTACGAATAAACAAAATTAGTCATATTATTATGAGCTAGCAGGAGGTGAATGCGAGAAGCAAAATCAATCTAAGTAGCGTGCAATGGGAGAGGCCTATGTTTATCAGTGGACTGCGATAGGCTGATGATTTTCTTTTTTTTTTTTTTAAAGACAACTCCCGCATTAGGAATAAATCCTGTGTCACGGGTGACTTTACAAACATACATGAAACGGACACAAAGAACACCCAGATTTAGAACAACAATTTGTGGATCACACAAAGTGTCGTCCCATGTGGGGTTTGAACCCACAACACTCGGCGTAGTAGGAAGCGGCGTGGCGACCGCTTAAACCACTACGCCATCCGTGCAGTCATTGATGATGAGTTATATTATGGGTCTTTTTTGGCTTAAGGGCCTTAAGGCTTAACGATATTATTTATTTTAAGGATATTTTGTTAGAACTGGTTAAAAGTTTATTAAATAATGATCAATTTACTACAATTTTAGAAAATTCACTAACCAAAAAAGTTTTTTAGTATGTGGTCTTACCTCGTCTTCCAATATTAGTCCAGCGATGAGCGGAGATACTATGGAGATGATATTTGCGAAAAAATTGGTAATACCCATCAATGTACCAGCAAAGTTCGGCGCCATGTCGATGTGAACGATCTGCAAAAGTTAACTTTTAGTTATCTTGGACTTAATAAACAACTATTTCCCAATAAAAGTAATAGTCATACAGTTTAAAACAGGGATACCCAAAGTGGTCGATATCGACCCCTTGGGCTCGAAATCAGTTTCCGTCGACATAAACGAAAACTGATTTTGGGGGTCGACGAGGTCTAAAAATCGACCCCTACTAATTAACACAAGTTCTCATTTGAAACTTTACCAACTTATTATAACAATCAAGAAGAATGACTAATATTTTAGTAGGAATTATCATTGTCGTACTTTAAAACACTTGACAAGTCGATATGCGTGCAGTGATTTGGCTATGGGGGTCTGACGAATCCGTTTATTTTAGAAAAGGGGTTCCTTGCCCAAAGTAGTTTGGTAATGGTTTAAAATACTTTAGTTTTAGTTTAGTTACTCTCAGTAACTTTGGAAAGTTTGTTTGTGTGTCTTTAAATAATTGTAACAGGTATTATATAACCTTGAGATGTACGTACCATAAATCCTGTATAATGTCCAGCATTGAGACCTACAACTAGGGTCAACAGTGCTACAGCAAGCTTGATATTACCCGCTGGTACATAAGATAACCCAACTAAAGACACAGCCGGACCCCATAAACCTAAAAAATAATAATTTTGAATTGCTGATAAACTTAAGTAGTCATATTTTTGTACGAAAATAAACCATCATTGTTCACCTAACAAGATACTTCTTTTTTTTTATAATTTAAAAAACGAAAACACCCGCATTAGGAATACATCCTGTGTCGCTGGGGACTTTAGAAAGAACACCCAGACTCAAAACAACAATTGTGTGAATCACACAAAGTGCCGTCCCATGTGGGGTTTGAACCCACATCACTTGGCGTCGTAGGAAGCGGCGTAGCGACCGCTTAAACCACTACACCATCCGTGAAAGAAAATAACAAAACGCTTTTTATCGATGCTTTTTCTATTTCACTTCCTACTTCTATCTTCTAAGACCTTATGATCCATTAACAGATAAAAGGTAAGGCCTTAAAAGGAAGCTAAACGTGATTAGAATATTTTAATATTAAAATATGTACGAAAAATCTTGTCCGTCCGTCATGTCCGTGTATTGACTTATTAAGAATACGGATGGTCACCACCCTCAATCATCCCATGGTTGTCGTAAGAACTGACTAAGGGAGCAAATTACGCAGGACAACAATACTGCAAAGAGATGGAAAACTTGACACAAACTCTACACCAACCCGTCTGGCCAGCGTGGTATAGTAGGCCAAAACCTCCTTTCTAAGGACAGGCCTATGTCTAGCAGTGGAATATTAAAGGCTGTTATGGTTGTTGTTGATGATGATGATGACTAAAAATCTTGCCAACTGGGTTCAACGGCTTCAATGACTTGCGCTACCCAAACCAGTTTTGTTACAAGAACATGACGATATACGGCAAACCCCCATTCCTCTTAAAAAAGTTATTACAATACAGCAACACTATGTTGCTATCTGCTAAGATCAACAACACAACAATAAAAAAATACAGGCGTATGTTATTTAGTACCTAATAAAGCCCGGGTTGTCTGGTATATTAGATACCTCCTATAGTTCTTACCTATTGAATTAGATACTTTTCTGCAAGCACTAATGCTTAACAGTTTCTTCTTAAGTACATAATCGGAAATAAATCCGAAGGGAAAACTCAGCAGATACATCGACAAATACGGTAGAGCTGACATCGCACCATTCTGTTTATATGAAAAAAAACGAATGAATACACGAAATGTGCTCAAGGTTCACGAAACAAAAATTAATCAAGCAAAACATCTAACAGACTACATTTAACTTACAGACTTAATATCAACCCCAAGAATTTGTTTCATGTAAGAAGGCATTTCAGTCATCAGTGTCCAGAATCCCCAGTTTTGTCCACAGTGTGTGATGATAAGCGCTATGAACGGTAGTGACGTACAGATTGCTCTCCAAGGCGTTTGTGGTTTCTGAAAAAAAAATGAACAATTATCATTTTTTCGTAAATTAATTTCAAAATTATAACTTTAATAATCTAAATATATTTGTTACGCATGATCTACAGAGATCAAAACCAGTCAAATGTAAGTTTGATTTGCGCACCGTGATTTTTATTATTTTATTTTTATTAATAAGTCATGAATGATCTGCAAAAGGTTAAAATACTATGTCTGTAGATTAAGCTTCAGGAACATGATTTTTTTATTACTTAAAGGACATTAGTGTTTAGTTTTAATTACAATTTGGTAATTTGTAATCCAGTAAATACAGATAGATAAATAAATTGTCCCGACTCCAATTCCTATGAGGGTTGGAATGAAGCAGGTAGCCCAGATGTTGATCATGATGTTTTAGACCATTTAATAATAACAGCTAAACTTACCTTTTGCACACCAACTTGTTTCAAGGAGGTCTGGATATACAATTTCTCCTCAGCACTAATCATTCTAGAAGACTGGGGGGAGTCAGCCCCGAATGTGACGTAGACTGCTGTCCAGATCGCGCCTAAAGCTCCATTTACGTAGAAGATAGCTGGCCAACCCCAATAGTCAGCTATATAGCCCGACACCAGTAACTGCAGAGCAGTACCCAGCTGAGCCCCTAAAAAAATAGTATCTTTTTATAATTTGAAATTAAATATATTTGTTTTATAAAATTGTTTAGTAATTATTCGAAACTGTCAAATTATGAAAAAAACAAACGAATTTTCTTGAAAACATTAATAGGCTAACATACACGGAGTCAGCCAAACTATAAGTTGCTTTGTCATACTTTAAATTATTAAAAAACCAATGATATATTACTAATCTGAGATTAGTAACCCTAGCCGACTGTGTTACAAAAATATTTGTATGTATGTGTTTTCAGATAATAGGGTCAGGTTAAAACTGAAATCTTCATGATCAAACAGTCTGTGTGCATGTTTTGTTTATGGAAGAGGGGACAAACGAGCAGACGAGTCACCTGAGAGAAAACGACTACCGCCGTCCATAAAAGAGTTACAGAGAGATAGAGTTGTAAGCGCAAAACACCTGGAAATTGTTTTAGTGCTCTCAATTTTAGTATAATAATAGGGGTAATAGTATAATAATGTCCGTTGTATTGTAATAGATATTTTGAATTGACATAAAACCTCCATGTTATGAGATTTTCGTGTGAAACTTTTTTCACGTGATACCTATGAAGTTCTTATTTAAAAAAAATGTGCAGCTGCCGATTTGCGACTGTTTTTTATTCCGCTTAGACGTAAAAGATAGATACTTCGAAAATCCGTGTCATTTTTGGATGCGAGTTCCGAAGTGGAACCAACGCGGCAGAAACGTCTCGCAATATCAACGCTGCGCTTGGAAAGGAGACTGCTAATGAACGCACCGTGAGTGTTTGTTTTAAACGCTTTCGTAATGGTAACTTCGACTTGAAAAATTAACCACGTGGAAGACCACACAGTAAAATATCGCTGAATTGAAGGAAATGGTGGAAGCCGATCCAAGTCAAACTACCCACGAATTAGCGACATGGTTTAACGTTACCCTACCTACAACATTAACTCATTTGCATCAAATCAATAAGATGAAAAAATATGAAAAATGGGTGCCTCATGATTTGACTGATCTGCAGAAAGAAGTGCGTGTTGAAACTCACGTTGCCTTGTTGAATCAGTACAGAAATGAAGGAATATTGGATCGAATTGTGACATGTGACGAAAAGTGGATTGTTTACAATAACCGTACGCGAAAATGCAAGAGCTGATCCCAGGCCAAACGTAGCAACAGTGCCCTAAAGCAAAGCTTACCAATAAAAAGGTAATGGTAACTGATTGGTGGTCTCTTCATTCTATTATTTACTATAGCTTTCTCAGTTCTGGTCAAGCAAAAACAATAATGGCGAAACTGGCAATGAAATAGCCTCGTCTCGTAAATCGATCTTTACCATTATTGCTCCATGATAACGCAAGATCTTACACTGCATGAGAGCCCGTTTTAACACTAGAGGAGCTGCAGTCAGAAACCATACGTCATCCTCGGTACTCCCCAGACCTTGCTCCAACGGATTACCATTTTTTTCGTGATTTGGTCAATTGCCTACGTGATAAAAAACATTCTTCCCAGGAGGAAGTACAAAATACTTTCACTCAGTTTGTCGAATCTACATTTAGATCCCCAGAGTTCTAGCGTAAAGGCACAAATGAACTTCCGGTTAGATGACAGCAATGTACAAATAATGAGGGTAAATATTTAATAAATATGTTACATCTTAGAAAAAAAACGAGTTTCAATTTTTCAGTACAAATCGGCAATTTCATTAATTAACCCCTAATATTTGTAATGCTATGCGTACTTTTACGTAACGTTACGTAAATAAAGTGCCTTTAAAGAATTTTAATTGCCGATGTTCATAACTTACCGCCATAGACAAGGGTTCCTAAACTGCTTTTTTCCTCTAGTGGTACCCATTTCCCTATTAGGGAGTGCATAGATGGGTATAAGAAACCTTGGGTAAGACCTTGTAATACGCGGCAGGCACAAAGAGCTTGCCAGCCTCCCTGAAAAGGAGAGCATAATTTCGTTACTTTTAAATATTTAAAGTTCAAAAAAAAATGTTACAACCAATAATTTCTCTGAAAAAGGACGTGTTAATTTTTTTTCATGTCAAAACTAATGTGACTTCTTATATTAGATATTTGAATATAAATATACACTATAGACTCATGTGAGTAAATTGTATATAAATTTAACATTAAATAAAACAATGATATTGAAATTAATGAATGATAAATCTAATAGTTTTTTTTAATACAGTTCTCAATAGAATTTTTCATTACGATAGCTTTTATTTAATATCGTAATAGCATAATCTAAGTAAGGACAGTAAAAAGATAATGGACTGATGAAATCCATAGACAGTGCAATGGTTTATGTTAAAATAAATAGTAGTAAAATCAGCATTTGCAGAACAGACACTCGACACAGGCACTAATTGAATTTCATCGTACGCAATTTACAGAGCCTGCAAGCTTTGCGGACACAGTTTGCAACATGGTTGAAACTTTAGCTAAATGAACGGAACGTAAAGCTTATTAAACAGCTATCTGCTTTCAGCCCATCTACATAATTATGTAAATAGCGCTATAATTTATCACAGAAATAAAATACTTACATAATACGCAGCCAAGGGTACGAGTAAAGACACCGCCGAATTTCCAACAATGACAGCAGTGACCAGAATACTTCCGCCAAATTTACCAGCCAACTCCCCAGCTGGAATCTGAAGGATGATGTAGCCCCAGAAGAAGGAAGATAGGATCACGCTCTGAGTCTGCATGCTCCAGTTAAAACTCTGTTCATTAAACACAACGTTATATGACAAACTTTTTAGCGGACTTTCTACGAATTGTTATATTTCGCTTATCAATTAAAGTATCCTTCGTAAACTGTATTTACATATTTCTGGATAATTGTTTTCTGAAAATATTTAAAGAATTCTAAAAACAAACATAATTTTCTAAACAGATATAACTTAAAAGTTAGTCAGACAAAACACATGAAACAGCATTTAATACATTTTCAGTTTTCAGTTCAGATGAATTTTTGTGTCTGCCATATACGTTCTAAAATAGGTTTAGAATTCCACAGATTTGAAAGAAGCTTGTAAGAGTTCTAACTTCATGCAAGTTTGAGTCTGAATGTGGTGATTAACGCTTTGTACTGACTATATGTTAGAGGGGGCAGACGAGCAGACAGGTCACCTGATGGAAAGTGCCTATCGCCGCCCATGAACGTCTGCAACTCAGGCGTCACAAACGCGTTGCCGGCCTTTTAGGTATTAATTATTTGGTAGAACCTCTTTTGTAAATGTAAATTACTGTTTCATTTCGAAGACAACAATGAATTGTCATATCGAAGCGAAGAATGTTTGCTCTATACAGGCTTTTCAAACATATGGGCAAAGTGTAATGACTTCAATATAAAGAGTTATTCGTGCAAAATGAAAATACAAAAATGATTATGTCATAAGATATATTGTTCAGCAAATTATTCGCTCTTTATTTCATTTGTGTCGATTGGATTCATGATTTATTTTAGAAAGTTGTATAGACTTTCATATGTTGACGATATTACGAAATGTCACACCGCTGGTGTCGTAAAGGAGTAAACTACGCAAGACACTGCATAAAGAAGGAAAACTTGAAACAGACACTATTACAACTCCTCTAGACAGCGTGGTATAGTAACCCAAAACCTGATTTCTAAGAGGAGGCCTGTGTCCAGGAGTGGACTAGTAAAGGCTGTTGATGTGATTTCTACCCCTTCGGCGATAAAGACGTGGGTGTATGTTTACCTATCTTTGTATGAACTTTGCCAAAAGATGACTATTCTAATCCAAATTAAGCACAACGATAAAAACATTTATTCCTCGAAAATAAAGCAATGAATATAGCACTTAACATGAATAGATTAATGTAGCCTTTTAGTATACAATACTGTAAAATAAATATTTACAAACTATGAAGAAACATAAAACGTGGTGTTTTAAACAACTTTGTAAAAATCTTCACCAAACGATGTCATTTGTCACGTTCGTCTATAAACATGTATCAACAAGCAGTTCTGAATTTAAATACAAAATTGTAACTAAGATATTATAAAGAATGCAATATCAATGCAAGGTCGCGGTCATAAGTCCAGTAGCATTTCTACGAAGTTATAGCATTGTAACTCATCGACGGGCCTTTTGGTCTAGTGGTTAGTGATCCTGACTGCTAAGCCGGAGGTGGGTTCGATTCCCACCCAGGACAAAAATTGTGTGATAAGAATGGTAATTTGTTCTGTGTCTGGGTGTAATTTGTCTATAATATGTATGTATTTAAATATATATAAGTATGTTTACCAGCAGTCTGGTTACCATAGCACAGGTTCTACCTAGTTTGGACGCAGACGGCCGTGTGTAAGATGTGTGATGTAATATATATTCTTATTATAACTAGTTGGACTTATGACCTTCTTCTATTATCGTATATCACACACATATACACGCTACGTGCGTATGATTATAGTGACTTATTTCAAAGTAATCAATAACTGTCCGTCTGTCACAGCTGTGGACACTCTGATGCAAATGCCGCCGTTTCAAAACTCATGCAACCTTACAGTAACTTTTTGAGAATTCATGGAATGGAATATGTATAAATCTTTGATATAATATTTCAAACAAACAAACAATAAACTATTTTATTGTTTCAAAAACAACATCGACTTTTGACGTCGGTTAGTAAACTGAGTTACGAGCATTTGTTTTGTTAATTGCCACTGATGCTTTTTTTGCACATCTGTTTTCAAAATGCAAGTCAATATTAGTCTTGAAGTTAATATCTGAAATATCGTAGTAGATGTTTATGTCTTCTAATTTGTATTATAAACAATGCAGATCACACAGAGTATTATTAAAAATAAATGTTATATTTAAATAGAAATACCTTTTTCTTAGGGCAATTTATGTAAAAATTTAGTTTATGATTGTAATACAGAGGTTAAGTTTCAATCTTATTTTCCTTGAGAAAACGAACAAATTAAACTGTAAACCTTTATAAACAACAAGAACAAATTGTAAAAGCAACCAAAATGGTCTGGGTATGAAAATATTAAACTTAAATGTGTTTATTTTAAGGTTTAATTTCTTTTAAAGGTTGAAAAAATATAAGTAAATTATCTTATGAAAAAATAATACCGTTTTTATTAAATTACATTTTATACCTTTTTTTACATTTACTTCAGTCATTTTTAAGTAACAGAGATCCAAAAAATATATCTCGACATGAAAACAAAAAGTTCAAAAAGTGATCGGGCACCGAGGCTCGAACAGTCGCCACTCGTCATCAGGTGTGGAAGTAAGCTAATCTTTGTATCATGCTACTGGTTCTAATGACTACGTGTTGACCACCACTGGGAGTTCAATACGAAGAAACGTATAAATAGGTGTCAAGGTATCTAGTGTTGTGCACACATACATGTGACCAACTAACATTATACGTCTGTATTATCTGGTTATAATTTACATATGTGTGCGTTGAAACATTTGAACAAAAAAAGGTCACGAATTGTAGCTGGATTATTGCTGTACACTTTAGATTTAACGTAACCCCAAAGAAAATAGTCTAAAGGTGTTAAATCACACTTGGTGGCCAACTGATCGGTCCATTTCTCGAAATTAACGACTCACCAAACTTTCCACGCAATAATTCCATGTTCACTCGAGTAATGTGAGGTGGTGCACCGTCTTGTTGAAAATAAAGGTCGTCTGCATCAATATCATCAAATTCCGGAAAGAAATATTCGGTTAACATCGAGTTATAGCGCTCGCCATTCACAGTAACAGGGTTTCCTTCGTCACTTTCAAAGAAGTTTTGGACAATTTCCAAGCGTTGGTTTAAAGTGTAACGTGACATGATAAAATGGCAAACCTTACTGAACACAAATGTCAAGAGACGTAAAAGATCCATCATCAAACATGACCACTATGAGCTGTCAAAACCAGGTCATCCCTATGGGTAGACCCGTTATTTAGAAATATAAATGTATATATTATATTTAATATAATCTGGTTTTAGTTATGAGTGGTATTTCACAAAATGGGCGCTACACATCAAATATCTAAGCACGACGTTAACTGTAGTACATTTACATCAAACCGGAACTAAATACGAACCATCACGAGCGTCATCGGCCTAAATTATCTTCCTGATTTGACAAAGTATTGTATACTATTGATAAAACTGTCAATACTTCGATGTTTACTTGTCAGTGTATACAAATATACATTAAAAAAAGAAAAAACCAGACTGGTCTGGTGCTTAATGACATTGCCTGCTAATCCAAAGGTCGTGGGATCGACTCCTACACAAGACAAATATTGTGTGATGAGCACGATCATTTGTTCTGTGTCTGGGTGTTATTTATCTATAAATATGTATATATTTAAAAATATATAAATATGTTCATTGGAAATATATGTACTCGTTAGACGGCAATAGGTTTAAAAAATCATAGCTAAATGCGTGAATCATAGCGAGGTGCTTAATACACCGCCATCTACCTTTTCGGAGTAAAAACATGACTATGTATTACTGTGTAAATAAAAAATGAGATTTTAATTTAATGCATTAAATGAAACAGACCACGGGTATAAAGGTTAAACAGATACAGGACAGATATAAAGGATTTTATGCACGTAATTAGACGTGTGGTAGCTGCGCAAGAAAACAAACCACCCTCCCTTTTCCTCCCAGGGGTCGACAAGAAAGCATATGGTGACAACGAATGGCGTAGTGCGCGCTCAAGTCAAACATTTGTGTGCATGAACATTCAATGTTTGATTTGGTCTGGGTGTTTCTATGTATAATAAGTATATATTTACAAAAAAAGTATATATGTATTTATATCAGTTGTCTAGTAGCCTTTGCTTAGTTTGGGACTAGATGGCGTTGTGTGAATGTGGTAGAATATTATTATTATATTATAATATAACTGCAATAAAAGCATGGCCAACGTTGTAATAGCAGACCAAACCGCCTGCAATATAGAATAATAATAATACCCTAACCTTACCTGACCAACCTCACCCATGACCACCTAATCCAATAATCACGGTTACCGAAATCAACGATTGCGAAGCTGCGGGCGGAGGCTAGTCAAATGTAATCAGAATGATAACCTGTATTGTAATGTGTGACCTTCCTTATTATTATTATTTTATGAAAAAAAAAATGTCCCTATCCATATCTTTTAAATAATAATAATTTCACACATCTCATACACAGCAGTCTGATACCAAACTAGGCAGAACCTGTACTATGGTAACCAGACTGCTGATAAACATAATTACATATTACTAAATACATACACTTAATAGATAAATTACACCAAGAAACAGAACAAAATGATCGGGCTCATCACGCAGTTATTTGTTCTCGATGGGAAACAAACCCAAGACTGTGGCTAGCTGTAAGAATTACTAACCATCAGACCAACATGCCATCAGTGATCATATAATACATCGAACTTAGGAAATAGGCATCAAATGTTTATTTTTTAATCTAAAAAACATTCGTCATCTCAGTAATCTTGTAAATGTTACCTTGAATGAGGAAATATCTCTAATTAAGCATGGCGTAAGGGCAATAGTCATAGCAAAAGGAAAAGTTGCTGACCTATTTGTGTAAATATTCGTTATCTTTAGAAAATAGGCTATCATGGTTGACGGAGATTTTATCAGGGCATAATTGAATCAGATAAAACTTAATACCATTGTTCGGACTAATACCAGCCGCAACTTTGCGCCATCGTTCCACACGGCAAAATTTTCATCCTCCTTACCTGGATATTTGGCGCACCGCTACTGTGCGATTTTCGAGACACTTTTTGCTCCGTACAACCAATTTGTGGAACGGGTTATCGTCTGCGGTATTACCGGACCGATACGACCTTCAAACTTTCAAGAAAAGAGCGTACGCCTTCCTAAAAGGCCGGCAACACGTTTGTGAATCCTGAGTTGCAGACGTTCATGGGTGGCGATGGTCACGTTCCATCAGGTGACCCGTCTGCTCGTCTGCCCCCTCTAACATAAAAAAAAAACTATCATCACATGTCAAAGAAATAATAGAAAACTGGTTTAACGTAATATTATGGTTGCGTTTCCAGTGACTGAGTGAGTGAGGTCACCTTATAATAGTGCAAAATTAATTTTGAAGAGGGATACTCAAAGGCTGGGGATGCAATTGTGACCATTAAGTTGCAGGTAAACCCTTGTTTGAACAAAAAATCGGTTGTCTGTAAAGTCGGTTTACTGACGATAGTTGAACGTGACAACGTCATAAGAAAATACTGATGGAATGGTTGCATTTTACGAAAACATGTAAATGTATTATTGTATAGCAGCTGTCCACGCGGACGCATCGCTCACTCAAGTAGGAGAGAGACAGATGTCAAACGCTGCCGAACGCGGAGGCCGATTGTGCCTCTTTGTCGCTCGTTCCGTGCTGTCGCTTGCACTTCAAGCCTTAAATGGAACGCCTCAGAGCGAGGTAACGCCGCATGAGTCATGTTTTTTCGAATTCGAATTATAAGACGTTGTCAAGTCAAAAACTTTCATTACAATGTCACATTGTCACTAGCAATTGACATTGTCATCGATTTTGTTTATTATCAGTTTGATTTATGTAGAGAAATAAAAAATACTTACGGTTTTACTGTCTTTATCTGTCATTGCGACTATAGCCATACTGATATTGACCCTCATGGCAAATGCTAACAGCATTCCGAAGAACAGCAGTACCACTTGAACATGGCGGATGCCCAAGAGTTTCTCTGTAACAGAAATGAAGATACTTATAATACATGGCGGTAAAAAAATTACTAACGATTGACTTTATTCCAAAGAAATTCAAGGTAGTAACTACTACCTATTGGGCAGGCTACTAACTATAGATGTGAAATAAAAACAATTCGGATTTCCTCTCCGTATGTTTATCAAATGATAATAAAATTAAATATAAAAATAAATAAAAAATTATACATAGAAACACCCAGACCAAATCAAACATTAAAATTCATGCAAATGTTTGACTTGAGTGGGAATCCACTACGCGTTACACAAACCACTACGCCATCCGGTTGTCAATGACGATAAATAGTAAATGGCTCACTTGATAGTGAGCTTGTTGGCTTGCTATACTTTAAGATACCAACACGATCCGTACGTACACCACAGCTGTTCTGTGTACCTACTAGCAACAATAATGTATCACAGAACAATCCAATATCCCGAATGTGCAGTCAATATAACGCAATTTGCTCTGAGGTGGACATTTCTCACAATAGTTATAATCTATTCATAAGTCTATTACTGAAACTATGTGCCCCACAATAATGTCTGTATAACTTCTTAAGCTTTCTTCCTTTCTTTTTTTTTTTTTAAGATCTTTGTGTTGTTATTTAATCGAACCTTAAACCAATTATTTTGTAATAATAATGGAGCTTAAGTTTATTATGTGAATTCTTTAGTCTGTTAACATACTCATATAAACTTTGTAATAGAACGTTGTGTATAGTTATAACTGGACTTCAGATTTAAGTATTGTATATTGTCAACATAATTGTGTATGTGCTAATCTGTTATCTGTTACTGTACCTATTAGATAAAATAAAAATAAAATAAATAAATAAAATAAATGATGTTGTACTCTCGATTAGGATAGTCTCGATAGGGAGACTCCCCCTGTGGCCAGGCGCGCCGCCTCTTGGAAGTTTGCCCCCCGGGCTGTCACCAGGGTATCGTCTGCGTAACAGATTACACCCAGCCCGGGGGGGGAATCGGCGCGAAGGGCCCAGTCGTACCCTATGTTCCACAAGAGGGGTCCAAGAACAGACCCCTGTGGAACACCGCACGACATGGGCCGACTTTATCTTGCCCCCCCCCCCCCCCCCCCAATTACGTGAAGTTATCGCAACTTTTTACCAACGGTCACTAAAATTGCGCTAGCTGAATCCTTGCTCCTTCCTATACTCGATTACGCTGATAGCAGCTATCTTGATATCACTGAGGAGCAACTTGATAAACTTGAACGCCTTAATTTTTTTTGCATTAGATTCATATTTGGTATACGCTTTTAATAATAATAATGTGAGATACAGTATTTTATTGTAAGGGTTATTATTTATAAAATCATCACGTATGACTGTAAAAAGAAAACATGGGAAAAAATTTCACCATCATCATCACACACTAACTAATAAGCCTGACTAACTTAACCTTTCCTTGAAGGTTTTGGCCTACTACACCACGCTGGCCAGACGGGTTGGTTAAGGGTTTGTGTCAAGTTTTCCTTCCCTTTGCAGTGCTGTTGTCCTGTTGTCTCTTAGTCGGCTCTTACAACACCCACGGGATGATTAGGTGACACTCCGTATTCCTAATCCGTCACCACACAAATGCATTATTTGCATTACCCTATATAACTGTGTATGAATGAACAGTTAACGAGTATAATATAGACTAGCTGACCCGGCGAACTCTGTTCCGCCTTAAAGGCAATAAATAAGCCGATTTTCGAATTTAGTAAGTTCATTTTTTCTATTGTTTCTGCATTTCAGTACATAGGTTGCTCTTCACTTAAGTAAGGTACTTAAGGTGATACACGACATTTTTTGTTTTCTTATCAGGCGCAAAAACAAACAACGCAATTGGTCTTCCGACCCGTGAACATGCCACTTATAATTGACCATGGGAAAAACATGGATGTTCTAGATTCAAACCACAAACTTTTAAGGATTGGCCTTGTGATTTGTTGATGGTCATGGCAAATGCAAGACGGATCGGAAATTGAAGTCTTTTAAATTCAAACGGCAAATCGGTTGGGATCATCGGGATCCTCGGATTGAGAACTTCCTCACCTTTGAATTTTCCTCTCAGTATCGTCGCGTAAATTACATTGTTCATCAATTTTCTTACCACCAAACGCGTACCGTTGCACAGTTTTGGTTGGTTTATGTTTCGAAGCATGATTACTACGGAGTTTAAAAATTCAATGGGATAGTTGGTGGCTTCATTTCATTTGTGACACAGTCCATAGATTTGAATGAATGCATTGTTCCAATGATCTTTTCTTGAATTATATAGTTCAGGTCGTCTACATCTTTATTCTTAGCCGCTAAAATTGCTCGTTCGCTCAACCATTCATTATTTTTGTTGTTATAAATAATGTCTGGAAATACATTGTTGATAACTTCGTCTTTTGATGAGACAAAATTACAGAAATTATTTAGAAATGATATCAATCCGCTTGCTTCATCGACAGGTACTTGACCATTACCAATAGTCAGCAATTGCTCAGAGAAATCTTCAGCAGATGTATCATTAAGCAATGCAACTCTCATGTTTGTTGTCAGCTGCAGTTTCTTCACATAGCGCCATAGGTTCGACGATTTGAGGCAAGCGTTTATTTCGTCGGCAGCCGTAGATCTTGGAATTACTGGCAGTGTTTGGCGGAAATCGCCAGACAGTAAAATCATTGCTACTCCAAAACATCTCGAGTCATTCCGTAAATCTTTTAATGTTCGGTTAAGTGCTTCTAGTGCACGTTTATGCGCCATTGTGCATTCGTCCCAGATGATGATTTTCGATGCCGATAAAACTTTGGCCATTGCTGAATTTTTCGTAATATTACACGTTGGTTTTTCAATAGTTTGAAGATTTAACGGTAATTTTAATGCTGAATGAGCCGTACGGCATCCTTCTAAAAATAATATAATATAATAATAATAATTCCAGAAGAAGCAAATGCAACCGCTATGTTGGATCTCGCACGAACAGTGGCTAGAACTACTGACATGAGGAGTGTCTTACCTGTTCCACCAGGGGCATCTAGGAAATATAAACCACCATTTCCATCATCGATTGCCTTCATTAAAGTATCATAAACTTCCTTTTGTTGGGAATTCAACAGGGGTACATTCTTTTGAACTACTAAATCTAATTCCTGGTGATCATATTCACGTTCCCGTTCCAATTCTCGATTAAATGCGTCATTCATTTCACGATTGGGCGCTGGCATTCCTAAGCTGATTAATAAACTACCGCACATGAGGTAACACATATCTTCGATCAAGAGTAAAGCACGATTATGTATCCTCATTCATCTCAACATCGTGATTTCTGGAAGTGATACGAATTTGATGTAAAATATCTTCTGACATATTATCCTTATATTTGTGCACAGGTTTGATGGAAAGCATGTCGAAATTATGATAGCGCATAATGAGCGTATCTGACTTGGAGATGCAGAGATAATGGCTTCAGCGATTGTCGTATCCCAATGGGTATCGTTTTCTAATAAGTTCAGTTCTTCACATGCAGCACGATATGTTGGGAATATACACCATTAACAGTCCACGTTGCATAGCATTCGAAGCCGTGAAATATACTCGTTGACCATTCTCCAAATGCACCGCCAAATGCACAACAGTAGGATGACGTTCGTGAATAGGGAATGCGAATATACGCCAAATCGCTTCATTACAGTTTACATAACGACCAACTTGATAGCGTGAAATTTCATCGTTGGTATTTGAGGATTGCAATCCAAAAACCGCCATATCGCTGCCTTTCGTGACATATTTGCAAATATATTTTATGGACTTTACTGAATTGCAATACTCAACGTTGCAATGTGTCTTGAACGTTTTAGAAATAAGTGGTGAATATGGAACAATCCAACTGTTGTCGACAACGAAATCCATTCTTTTCACTTTTGTTGTGACAGTTCCACCGTTGTCATCTGGTGATCGACGCCGATACAAAAAAAACGTAATAAATAGTATCCTATGTCCGTCTCCTGGCTCTAAGCTACCTCCTCACCAATTTTCAGCCATATCGGTAAAGCCGTTCTTGAGTTATAAATAGTGTAACTAACACGACTTTCTTTTGTATATATAGATTAGATGTTTATTTAGCTAATAAAATGATTCATAGAATGTCGAACCGAGTCCTAAGCAATACTGTGTACACGAGTAGGTATAGACACTTGTCTAGGTTTTATCAGACGTGTATCTATTGATTGATATTGATGTTATCTTATACACTATTGACATTGTTTTGATAAATTAATGCTTGTGCTTTGATTACAATATATATTTGGCAATAAATTGTTTTACTTATTAAGTTAATTACCTGACTACATAAACAACAAACAGCGACGATTGGAGCCACTTCATCGCAGCCATGATTGTTCGTCTGTTTTTCGCAAATAACTAAATTATTTTAAACTATTAATTTAGAAATTCAAAAATGAGGACATTATCAGCGAGTAACATAGGCCAATTTTACCGCGATAACCCGTTATTATAATCGTAGTAAGTGAGATTTACGTCAAGTTGGAAAATGACTTCAACTATTTTCTGAACCCCACCATGACTGCAGTGACCGATGACTGGAGCAAACGAGTAGAAGGGTCACCGAATGAACACCTGCGACTCAAGACACAAGCAAGAAATTGAAAATTATCAAATTTGACCATAGGAGAGCCATGCTTCGGCACGAGTGGGCCTTCTCAACCGGAATGATACCACGGCCTTACAGAAAACTGGTGTTAAGCAATTCTTTCGTTGCCTTTTACTGAGATTACAGGAGCCCAAAACCCTCCTCCCGCTGACTCGAGCGGGAGGGACACCAAGGGCGGCAACACACTTGTGACTTTTGAGTTTCAGGTGTCCGTGGGCGGCGGTAGTTGCTTACCATGAGGTGACCCGTCTGTTTGTTTGCCCCCTTATGCCATAAAAAAAACGACGCCGAAGCAATGGGAGAGGCCTATGTC